GATCGAGTATCACATGCTGGCTTGAAAACTGAGTGACAATAGCAGACAACCGTCGCTACTTGGGTGGTCAGGGCCGATCACAGAAACTGAGAATGTTCAGTCGAAGATCAAATTGTCTTTAACCACTCTCATTGCATGCTTCTGTGAACTCAACGGAGAGAAGGGGAAGGCCAAAAGCTCTCGTTCTTTCTCGAAAACCCTGTGCATGCGTAATCGATCCAGGACCAAAACACCCATGTCGCCCTCGCAACGAGGAAAAGTAGACAGCACTGCGGTGTAGAATGGAGGAGACATATCACTATGACCATCACACATGCAACACATCTGGTCAAGAGCCTGCTCTCACACCAACTCAACACCAGTAAACAGCAACACCATTCTCATGGGGGGGAGGTTCACGACATCCCAGCCTCTTCCCTGATATCCTCCTCAAACCTCTGTAGGAATGCTGATATGCTATTTATAATAGATCCTTGTGATGCCTCCCTCATCCCTTCCTCTGCCGCTATTGCCTCCCGTAGTGATTCGATCAAATCCTGATTGATAAATCACAAAAAAGAACACCCAACACCATCCACTCACTTTAGTCCACGCTTGTACCCGCAACTGCCTCTTGCTCACTTCCTCATGGTTGCTGACCATTTGCTGCTTGACCCCAGTACATAGGACATCACGACGGAACTTCTCCTCATCCAACTCCTTCTTCAACGCCTCTACTGAGTCAGTAAGTCTCTTAGTGAGCCCCTGAAATACGCCGTGTGAACATCATCACTGTAGATCTGTTCATGACTGGAAGCCGCTGCTTACACCGCAAATTCCAGAACCACTCGGAGTGGTTCTGGGATTTGCGCTCTAAACGCGCTAAGGATCACTTCTGGAGACGTTTTTGAGATCGTTCCCAGAGCTTGTTCTATGAACAGAAAATCCCAGAATCGTTTCTAGAAAGGCTTCTCAAATCTAAAATCGGTCTATTAAACAATCGGAGTCACATTGCCTAGCACGA